GGACTTTATGGAACCACAGAGGAGTAACTTAATCCAAACACAGAGGAAAAGAAAGATTAAGGAAGACTTCATGGAGGTAACAGGGCCTGTGCTGATTCTTGAAGCAGTTAGCCAGGTGACGTGGAGGCAATAGGTTGGGATGGGGAGAAAACATTTCAAGAGAGGAAACTCATTCCAGGTGAGCAAAGAGGTAGAGGCTGGAAACAACAAGGCATGGTAGGGGGATTGTTAGCAGTTCACTGACTACAAGGCAGAGAGGTGTTGGAGATGAAGCTGAAGAAGTACATGGGGCCAGATCATGGAGGATCTTGAATGTCATGCTGAGAATCTGGAACTTAATTCATCAGATAATCGGGAGCACTGAAGATTTTAAAAAGAGGTGTAATGTGGTCAGATAACACATTTTGAGAAACCAGGGGAATGTAGAGGATTTTTGAAGGATATAAGCCTTGAGGGTAGGTGATCAGCGAAGGGAATTTGGCAATAAATCAGGTGAGAGACCTGAGAGCTGGAACTAAGTCCTTGGTCATAAAGATGGAAAGGAGGGAATAAGTTGAATATATATGGAAAGGACAGACTGGCAGGACTTGGTGTATCAATAGATCATGGGAGGTGAAGGAGAGAAATTGAGGATGGCTTCCTGCTTTCTAGGTGCCTGGACATAGATGGTAATGTGACCAAATGTTTCAAAGAAAACTGGATGTATATATCCAATAGACAGCTGGATTTTGAAGCTCAAGGGAGTGATATGAACTGGACATATAGATTTAGGAGACATGAGCATAGAAAAGGTATTTAAAATCATGCGATTGAAGGAATTTCTTCAGGGGAGAATATAGATAAACACTGAACAAAGGATAGAATCCTGCAGAACACTCATCTCCTGTAGGTGGGCCAGGGAAAAGGCCATGAAGGAGACAGTTAAAGAATATCAGAGAAGTGTAAGGAGAATTTAGAGTCTTTGGTGCACAGAAAAGTTGAAGGAGAGAGGAACTAGCATTTTCAAAATGCAGCTGAGATTTCATGAAAAATGGTCATTGGATTTGGCAAAAAGAAGGTCACATAAAGTGGAGTTTCAGGAGGGTGAAGCTGGAAACCAGATTGCACAGTGGATTAAGGTTTAAGCGGGAAGTTTAAGACTGAAGAAGAAGTGAAGTCAGTGTCTATATATAGCTTGCTCTTTCAGGAATTTGAGGTAAAGAAGGTGAAGACAGAACTTAGGCAGCATGTCTTCCCACTTCAGATGATTCTACGCACCTTGAGAGAAATGTCTAGCAACATGCTATGTGTACATTTATATCAGTAAATATTAATTAGATAAGTGATTCCAATCAAACATCAGCACGAGACCTTTAGGTTTTTAATTAGCCTTTCTTTCTTTGACAATTTTTTTCCTTTTAATTATATCCTTCAAGTACATTCGATACCAGAAATTGTTTAGGTACTGAGAAGCTTCCCACAGAATTCTCCATGTCCCATTTTGAGAAATTGGGCTCAAGCCATTTCCTGCTTTGGTCATTAAAAAAATAATTTACACAGCAATTTACACGGTAATCAGAATTCCATCAAGAAATGCCATGTACATTAAATCTAAGTCATGTTATTGTTATAATCACTAGTATTAAAATAACATGGTTTTGACTTTGTTCATCGCTAAAAAATTTAATGGTGTTTAGCAAAGTTGTAATAGATGGGAGGCCAGGCTTTCAGAAATGAAAGGTTGAACTACGTACCCTGTGGGTGCTCTTTAAATAGTTATTGAATGACTAATCAGTGATTTCATGGGCCCTAACACAGGTGAGATGATTGCCTGAGCAAGCATATTTTAAGTAAACTCATATAAAGGACAAACTTGAAGTATTTTCAGGGAAACTTCAGTGATATTCACACCACATATATAAAACTGTACTTTATTTATTCTAATAGCCCTTACAAATTTGAAAGGAAAAATTACAAGTATCAAGACAATGAAGTTAAAAAATTATCTCATATGGATACTGTTTCTCATTGTAAGACTTTTTTTTTTTTTTTTTGAGACAGAGTCTTACTCTGTCACCTGAGTGCTGTGGTGTCAGCCTAGCCCACAGCAACCTCCAACTCCTGGGCTCAGGCGATCCTCCTGCCTCAGCCTCCTAAGCAGCTGGGACTACCCGCATGCGCCACCACACCCAGCTAATTTTTCTATTTTTAGTAGAGACGGGGAGGGGGGGGTCCTCACTCTTGCTCAGGCTGGTCTCAAACTCCTGAGCTCAAATGAGGCCAAGGCCCAGCCTTGGCCTCCCAGAGTGCTAGGATTATAGGCGTGAGCCACCGTGCCTGGCCCTGATTATAAGTTTGCTAGAATTATTTTTCTGGGCAAGAATTTGAGTTTTATAGAAAAGAACTTTCATCATGGGAACACTGACATTTTTAAGCTCCCCCAGATTACACGCTATTGCATCAGAATGAAATGTTAAACTGATTCATGTTCAGATTGCTTCCTTCTGAAATCCTAGGCTTTACTCATTTAGTTTATTCCCTTTCTTCTTGTATCTCTCATTTTTCATGGCCTAATCTTTAGTTATTAGTACTATGACCATACGAAAGTTTTTATTCATTCCAAAAACGTGCAAACATGCTCTTTGTTAAGATCTCTGGGAGTCTCAGGGATGTTTGAAACATAATCCTTGCCTAAGAAGTTTAAAGAGTTTATAATTCGGTGATAGAAATATGAAGTAGAAAAAGTCATAAAAGATTACGTACTAATGCTGAAATAATGTGGGAGTGCAGATATCTCTTTGCCATACCTATTTCAATTCATCTGGATATATACCCAGACGTCGAATTATTGGATCATATGATAATTCTATTTTTAGTTTTTTGAGGAACCTCCATACTATTTTTCAAAATGGTTGTACTAACGTACATTTCCACCCACAATGTGCAAGGGTCCCCATTTCTCTACATCCTTTCCAGCACTTGCTATCATTCATCTTTTTTATAATAGCAATTCTAACAGGTGTGAGGTGATATCTCATAGTGGTTTTAATTTGCATTTCCCTGATGATTAGAGATGTTGAACATTTTTTCATGTACGTTCACCATTCATATGTCTTCTATTCAGAAATGTCTGTTCATATCCTTTGCCCATTTTTAAGTCAGGTTATTTGTTTTCATGCTATTGAGTTGAGTTCCTTATTACTTCCATGTTCATTTTGGCATTATTCACAATAGCCAAGATATGGAAGCAACCTAAATGTCCATCAATGGATGAATGGGAAAAGATAACGTCGTATATATACACAATACTATAAAGCCTTTAAAAATAAGGAAATTCTGTAATTCGCAACAACCTAGATGGAACTAGAGGATGTTGTGCTATGTAAAGCCAAGCACAGAGAGACAAATACTGTGTGATCTCATTTAGATGCAGAATCTAAAAAAGTTGATTTCATACAGAGTAGAAAGATGGTCACCAGAGGCTGGGGAAGGGGGTGAAGGATGGGGAAAGGGAAGATGTTGGTCAAAGGGTATAAAGTTTCAGTTAGACTGAATGCATAAGTGTAGTTAATAACAACATATTGTTAATTGTAAAACTGCTAAAAGAATAGACTTTTAATATTCTCACCATAAAAATAAGTTGGTGAGGTGATGGGTTTATTAATTAGCTTCATTTAATCTTCTGTAATGTATACATAGATCAAAAACATCACATTGTACCCTATAAATACACACAATTATTATTTGCCAATTAAACATCTTTAAAAAAATTACTAAGTTCCACGGTGTCCCTCCCTGTGCAGGGACTGGACCTTATGCATCTTTACATCTCCAAGGTCAAGCTCAGTCTGGCACAGAGAAGTTTATTGAATTGAAATTCATTTAGAGACTGGAACTGGGTGAAGAGGAAAACAGGAAGGCCACTTAGAAGAGGCAGCATGTGAGCTGGGTCTGGCCCTAGAAAGGGTAAGTACGAGAAAGACCTTTCAAGGTGAGGAGGGATATTGTATTCAGACGTACATGTGGCATGTTGTAGATATTAGAATCAGAGCTTCTCAGATCCACCAGGATCTCAGATGGGTTGTTGAGTTTTTACTACATGTCAGTCCACTTGGCAGTGATAGACGGAACTATAGGCTTTGCAGTAAGATATACCTGAGTTTAAGTCTTACCTCTACTATACTGTTTTTTGAACAACGTATACAAACTTTCTATTCCTATTTTCTCTGCTAGGAAATAGGAATCACACCTATTTTGGGTCTAGCATATCCTAAGCTACTTCATTAAATGATGGCTTTAAAAAAACTATTTACAAAAAAGAGATAATTTGAAATATTTTAACTTGTAATGTGCAAGATGTTGGAAAGCTTCCAGTTTCACCTTGAAATTTTCTTCTTAAAAAACAAAACCAAAACCAAAACTGATAGACCCGTCTCATGGCTGAGTGTTAAAATACCAGGACTGGGAATCAGAGGAGCCGGCTCTATCACTACCCAGCTTCCAATCCCTGCCATCCCCAACCCAATCCCAATCCATCATCTCATTTCTCTGGGCCTGTTTACTATGCAAAGAGAAGGTGGTCTCTACTGGCGCTGTTTAATACAGTAGGCACTTGTCAGCCACATTTGACTATGAAATGTGCCTAGTTTGTATAAAATACACACTGGATTTCCAAGACTAAAAAAAAAAGAGAGAGAGTAAAATATCTTATGAATACATTTAATATTGATTACATTTTGAAATTATATTTTGCACGTATTGAGTTAAATAAAATATATTTTTAAAATAAATTTCACTTGCTTCTTTTTGCTCTTCTGATGTGGCTACTAGAAAATCTAAATTACATATGCAGCCCAGGTTTAGATGATCTCCAATATCCCTTTCAGCTTTAAGACTGCCAGGAACACTGTGGACACGTAATTCTTACGGTTTGATTTCCTCGCACTGAGACACAGAAGGATTGGCCGGGAGTGAACCGGGTGGGGCGGGGCCCCGCAGGAAAACACAGGCCCCTCCAGCTTTCGCTCTCGCGCTGGAGCGGAAGGACCCCGACCCCCGCGCGGTGTCTGGGGGCTTGCGCGCTGGGTCGAGTCTCCAGGCTGGAGGTGCAAAGGGGCCGAGGGCGGGCGCGGCGGGCCAGGCGGGGCCGAGCCGGGAAGCGGGTTCGTGCGTCAGCCTCACGCGCCGACAAGGAAGCCGGCCTGAGGCCCCGAGCTGCCGGCGCGGGCGCTGTAGCACGTCCGCAGGCTTCACCGAGAGGTGGCGACCGCTGAGAGGCGGGCGAGCCGAGGGCGGGCCTGGGAGGCGGCCCGGGGGTGGGGCGCCGCCGGGGGGCGGCCCGCGCGGGCTTCATCTGAGGGCGCACGGCAGCACCCGAGTGCTGGAAACTCCAAGGCGCGGGGCGACGAGCTGCTAGAGCGGCTATGGGCCGTGGCTGGGGCTTCCTGATCGGCCTCCTGGGCACCGTGTGGCTGCTCAGTTCGGGATACGGCGGACAACAGTCCTCGGAGACAGCGGCTCAGAGGTGCTTCTGCCAGGTGAGGGATGTGCGTTTCCGTGCTGCGGGTCCCGGCGCCCGGCGCGCCCAGGCAGGTGAGGGGCTGGGGGTGCGCCTTTGCATCTCTTCCTGCCCGGAGTGAGACCGCTGTGCTTCTGTTCCGTGGCCGGGGCTGAGTCCTGTGCTGCTCGCCAGGGTTGGCGTGGAGCGGGCTCCACTGCAGCCTGGACGTCGGCGCGTGCTCCGGTGCTCCGGACCAGGAGAGGAGAGTGGGTGCACGCTGTTGGTTTTTACCGAGTCGGTTTATGAATCTTTGTTGGTCTTCCCTGCCCGAGGAGGGTGTGCACAGTGTACAACGCACACCCTTTTTGCTATTTTCACAGAACGTGGATCTTTCTAACTTCTAACGACCAGGAACTTTTGTACAAAGTGCCTGTGCTGGCTGCCTTCACCAGCCTTTCTGGTTAAGACAGATTTCCTTGTCAGTCGGAAGAATGGCTACGTGGGGCTTTTCTGTGTCTAAGCTCAACTGCCAAGTGTCTTTGGGACTGCAGTAGCCCTATGACTCCTCGTCCTGTGTGTGCTTTGTTTTTCCTGAATGTAATGAGATTCTCTTATCATGACACTCATTCAGCTGGTCTGAATTGGGAGGATGATCCTTACTCTTCAATGCACAGGTTTGGGACAAGCTTATTATGATCATTTTCTTCTGTAAGAGATGTGGGTTCCTTGAGCAAAAAATTCAAAGAAACTTAACAGGTTTCCAGTAGCCTCAACATATTATATTTGGATATTATTACTCATGTTAAAGCCAAATTTTGGTTGACTTCTGTTGATAAAAATTACATTTTATACAAAATTAAGGGGTGGGCATCCAAATTATTCCTTTTGAGTGAATTTTGCTATTTATGATCAGAAATAACATGTGTAGGGGCATGATACTATCTCATAGAGGAAAGAAGCATTTTAAATATTATGAAAGGAAGAGATGTCATCTCTTTTACTGTTTTAAATTCTTGGATTTTGATGTTTTATTCAGTGATTTGGGAGTTGAGGTGAGTGTTACCTAGAAACCTGTAAGGGAGTTTAAAGAATGTTGCTACTTTACAACTAAGAGATTGAAAACTTCTTTATCTTCATTGATTGCAAACGACACACAAGCAAGTACTTAAAAGGAACAAGGGTCATTTTCCTTCTGAGTAAAAATATAACACAAAGTTTAAACATTTAAAAAATAAGTAAGGTAGAAGTAAGTTACTTTATCATAAGGTCTTCAGTACTGAAAGAAGATATACAATGTAACATTTTCAACTACGTTCTAGAGATTTGGATAATGGAATAAAAGTACATGTTGAGCTCTTCCAATTTCACATTTTTCCTTTAATAACCTTATTAGAGATCTGCTTAAAATTGGGGAACTTTTAACTTTTTACATTTATTTTCTGTTTTTTTTGATTAGTCGTTAAGCTTTTTTCCTCTTTCACAATATCCTCAAATTTAAATACTTCTCCAACACAAAAATCTGTTAGGCTACTTTCTTTTCCTTTTAGATCGAGTGACAGTTTTTTTTTTCATAATCATCTTTAAAAAATAGTAAATCGAGGGTCACATAGTTAAAAAAAAAAAACCTTAAGAGAAATTTAAAATGGTCTACTTAAATACATTTAAGAACAGAGATCATCAATTCCAGTTCAATAAATGAAAGAAAAGTATATGTTCTATCATGTCAATAATGGAAGGGATGATGTTGAGGGGAGGAGAGAGGAGAGGCCAGAGAGGAGAGGCGACAGTGATGAATAGACATGCAGAGAAGAATAAGACACAAGCATATAGAAACAGAGAAATAGAATGAGAGAGAGAAAAGAATAAAATGGAGAAGGAAAAGATAAAGGGAGATGAATGGTGCAAATTATTCATTCAACAAACAGTTATATCCACTGTGTACATTGACCTGAGTGTTTGGGATACAGAAATAACTATGGCATGATCCCTGCCCTGAAGAGCTTACAGTTTAGTGAGTCATGTTCACTGGGGATTGGTGGAAGGCACAGATCCTAAGCACTTAAAAAAATAAGTTAATAAATATTGCTAGAAACTAAATTAAAAACTAAATTTTCACCTAATGTTTGGAGATACAGGTTAAAATCTTCTCTATTTATAATATCCAGTGAGCTGCAAAGTCCTATAGATTCTGTTTTGTTAATAGTTTTATCTTTTCTTCCTTCCTGTTGCTTGTCCTTCTTACCACTTCTGCCTTGGGTTACCACATCACCACCCCTCATCACGCTACGGCATGGGTGCCTGGCAGTAGGGGTTCACTGCACAGAGTATCAGCTCTGATGTGAGCCAGAGCAAGCATGTAGTTAGTTATTCGACCTTAGAAAGTCACAGAAGTAAAATGTATAGAGCTCTACAAGTAAATCAGATGAAATTTGATACACATTTGTTGAGGCCTCTGAACAAGTTTTGAGAGATCAAAAAATGACTTAAAAAAATCATCTGACACTACCGAGTATTGAGCCTGGTACATAATTGGTGCTCAGTAAATGTTAGGGAAATTACAGTACAAGATGTGGGCACTATGCCAGCAGGGATATATTTTTAAAATTATTCTGCTTAGCAAGCTATTTGCATGTTTTCTGGTTTGATCTTTCAGATCGGTTGACAGCTCCAAATGAGTCTTTGAATCTGGTCAGTTGCGACATATGGCTGTTAGTTAACATCAGATTTTCACAACTATTTTCATTGTATATGGCAAGTTCCTTTAATAGTGGTGCTTCAGTGTGAATTGCTCAAAGTAGTGATTAATTGCCTGGGACTTGTAAATCCTTGTATATAACCTTCTATAATGTTACATATACAGTCCTTATATACATACGACCTCTGCTTTTTAGAATATGACTCTATTTAAAAGAATTTTTAATTTTTAAAATTTTCACAGAAAATTGGCTTGTTTTCCCACTTTGGGCATATAAGTCTATGAAGTTTAACACGTCTCATTTGTGTAAACAACTCTATAATTGGGACCTACTCTTTCTTTAAACCAAAATAGTTTTCGTACTATTGGTTGTAATAGGTATGGGCTTGCAGTACATGAAGACCTTTCAGTTTCTTATTTCTTGTCGACAATTACTGCCCCATTATGTACCATTGGAGAGAATGAATGTAACAACTTCAGTCCCCAATTCATGAAATCCCAGGATGTATTTTAAAGAAATAACCTCAGAAGAACTATTGAAGCCCAGATATGGGGGCAGTATGGACATCTTTTTCATTTAAGTTAATTAGAAACAAGTTTGTAAACTCCTATGTGCTCAAAATGTTTTATTAATCTTAATATAGCTAGTGCTGGTACTATGGAGATCCACTTATTTGAGTGTGCTAAGTATCTGTTGGGCTAATGAAAGGGGAATAGGTCAGATAATCCAAAATGGCTACTCTAAAAAAAGGATTATTTTTATTTTGGAGTGCATTGTAGGTATTCTGCAAACATGTATTTTAGAAGATTTAACCTGTCAAGTGTCTTGTTGGATCAATTTAGAAAATGATTTTAATTGTTAGCCCGAGTGGCTGGGGCTTGGGAGAGACACCTGATAATATGTTGGGTAGTGGGTGGAAATAAGCCCAGGATTAAAACCTAGTTAGAGTGATCTTTGAAACAGGTTATACTGGGGAGGTGTGCACTGACTCTGGGTGCCTGCTACATTTTCGGGCTTTTCTGAACAAAGTGTGTGGAATAAATATTTTTGTGGTGGTTGTGGTTCTTTCAGTCATTTGACAACAGTTTAAAGTTTTAGCAAAACTTAAGACTTTAAAGTAGAATTAGCTCTTAGCAGTCCATGTCCTTAGAATGGTGCCTGGTGTCTGGTGTAGAATCTTTGGTATTTCCCTGCTTTCATTGACAGAGTTGTCCCAGTGTATTTCTGTCAATGAATGAATAATTTTCATGTTCTTTTTTTTATGGTCACAAAACACAATAAAGTTAAATACACCTAAAGTTCTTAGCCAAACAAATCACATTTTGAGCACATTTATGTGTTTATCTCCCCTCAGCTTTATTGCTGTATAATTGACAAATAAAAAATTTTAAGGTATGCAATGTGTTGTTTTGATATACATTGAGAAATGAATACCACAACCAAGCTAATTAACATAGTCATCACCTTACATAGGTACTGTTTTTGTGTATATGTGTGGTGAGAATATTTAAGATCTACTCTCTTAGCAAATTTCAGGTATACAATATATTATTATTTGCCATAATCACCATGCTGTACATTAAGTCTCCAGAACTTATTCGTCTTGTAGCTGAAAGTTTGTAGCAACATTTCCCCATTTTCCCCACCCCCCACCCTTGGTCTACTCTCTGTTTCTATGAGTTTGACTTTTTAAAATTCCACATAAAAGTGAGATCAGAAATCATGCAGTATTTGTCTTTCTGTATCTGGTTTATTTCACTTAGCATAGTGGCCCCCAGCTTCATCCACATTGTCGCAAATTGTAGGATTTCCTTCTTTTTAAAGACTGAATAATATTCAAGTGTGTGTGTGTGTGTGTGTGTGTGTGTGTGTGTGTGTGTGTGTGTGTTTCTATCACCTTTTCTTTATCCATTTATCCTTCAAGGGACACTTAGATTGCTTCCATATCTTAGCTATTATGAATAACGATGCAACGAACATGGGAATGCATATATTTTTTTGAGATATTGATTTTATTTCCTTTGGATGTATACCCAGAAGTGGGATTGCTGTACCATGTGATAGTTTTTTTTCTATTTAAGCACCTTTATACCGTTTTCCATAATGGCTATACCAATTTACATTCCCACCAACAATGTGTAAAGGTTCTCTTTTCTCTACATGATTTTCAACACTTGTTATCTTTGACTTTTTGATAATAGCCATCTTAGGTGTGAAGTTTTAATTTGCATTTCTCTGATGATTAGTGATGTTGAGCATCTTTTCATATACCTGTTGGCCATTTGTATATATCCTTGGAAAAATGGCTATTCAGGTCCTTTGCCCATTTTTAAATTGGGTT